ATCTGTACCCTGACTCCCCACTGCATCTGTACCCTGTCTCCCCACTGTATCTGTACCCTGTCTCCCCACTGTATCTATAGCCTGTCTCTCATTGCTAACACCTGTACTCACTGTGAGAATGAAGATGATGCTTACTTGTCCTTAGGACTCAGGCAGGAATTCTTAACTCACAGACAGGCAAAAGAAGGCTAGGAAGAAGTGTGTGTGTGTATGTGTATGTGTGTGTGTCCATCCAATGCACTACTTAAAGCCAGAGTCACAGCTAGAACCCCTCATATTAACAATTTCCGTAGGCTTTTTTCTTGACACTAGCCCTACAACACTTTTCTCACTATATATTCCTATATAATTCCTGCTGGGGAAAAGGTTGTATTCAAAGGTTTAGGTGACAGGCGCATGTGACAAGTAGGTTGCATACGTACCACTGTATACCATTCTTTTGCCCACGGCAGACATTTATCAACCATAGAACTTTATCCCTATGATACCATAGGGATATGGTACAGACCACACCAATTTGTATGCAAAACAAAATGTATTTGTTATTCTTCATGCTAGCCATTTAGGATATTGCTACTGCCAGGTTAAGCAGCTTTGAATGTCAAAGGTAATCCTTTCTCTTTTTTGTGTCCCCTGCCAGCCACAACCAGTGGTTTGACACCTAACAGTGTAATCCCTGAGAAGGAGCGGCAAAACATTGCAGAGCGGCTGCTGCGGGTCATGTGCGCTGACCTGGGTGCGCTGAGCGTGGTCAGTGGGAAGGAGTTCCTCAAGTTGGCTCAAACCTTGGTAGACAGTGGTGCCCGCTACGGGGCCTTCTCGGTCACTGAGATCTTAGGCAACTTTAACACCTTGGCTCTGAAGCACCTGCCACGCATGTACAACCAGGTGAAGGTGAAGGTGACGTGTGCCCTGGGCAGCAACGCCTGCCTGGGCATCGGTGTCACATGCCACTCCCAGAGTGTGGGCCCTGACTCCTGCTACATCCTCACAGCCTACCAGGCTGAGGGTAACCACATCAAGAGCTATGTGCTGGGTGTAAAGGGCGCAGACATTCATGACAGTGGTGACTTGGTGCATCACTGGGTGCAGAACGTGCTATCAGAGTTCGTGATGTCAGAGATCCGGACCGTATACGTGACAGACTGCCGGGTGAGCACGTCCGCCTTCTCTAAGGCTGGCATGTGCCTTCGCTGCTCAGCCTGTGCCTTGAACTCAGTGGTGCAGAGTGTGCTGAGCAAGCGGACGCTGCAGGCCCGCAGTATGCATGAGGTCATCGAGCTGCTCAATGTGTGCGAGGACCTAGCAGGCTCTACGGGCCTGGCCAAGGAGACCTTTGGCTCTCTGGAGGAGACGTCACCGCCACCCTGCTGGAACTCAGTGACAGACTCACTGCTGCTGGTTCACGAGCGCTATGAGCAGATCTGCGAGTTCTACAGCCGTGCCAAGAAGATGAACCTCATCCAGAGCCTCAACAAGCACTTGCTGAGCAACCTGGCCGCCATCCTGACCCCCGTGAAGCAGGCAGTCATAGAACTGAGCAACGAGAGCCAGCCCACCCTGCAGCTAGTGCTCCCTACCTACGTCAGGCTGGAGAAGCTGTTCACGGCCAAGGCCAATGACGCGGGCACCGTCAGCAAGCTGTGTCATCTCTTTCTGGAAGCGCTCAAGGAGAACTTCAAGGTGCACCCAGCTCATAAGGTGGCTATGATCCTGGATCCTCAGCAGAAACTTCGGCCAGTGCCGCCCTACCAGCACGAGGAGATCATCGGCAAGGTGTGCGAACTCATCAATGAGGTAAAGGAGTCTTGGGCTGAGGAGCCTGACTTTGAACCTGCTGCCAAGAAGGCCCGATCAGCCGCGGGAGAGCACCCCACTGCTCAGGAGGATGATCGGCTTGGCAAGAACGAAGTATATGATTACCTTCAGGAACCCCTCTTTCAGGCCACTCCCGATCTCTTCCAGTACTGGTCATGCGTGACCCAAAAGCACACAAAACTGGCCAAGCTAGCCTTCTGGCTCCTGGCTGTTCCTGCTGTAGGGGCTCGGAGTGGGTGTGTAAATATGTGTGAGCAAGCACTTCTGATCAAAAGGAGGCGACTGCTTAGTCCTGAAGATATGAACAAGCTCATGTTTTTGAAATCCAACATGCTTTAAGACTCAACTTTGAGGAAAAAAAAAAACAGACAAAAAGAAGAAAAACATTAGGAAAACACACACACAACACTGTCACAAACAAAGAAATTTAAGTTCTAAACACTGTGGAACCTCATTGTAAATGCCCCTTGGGAACTTAAGTGCTTTTTTTTTTTGCTGTGTGTGTGTGTGTGTGTGTGTGTGTGTGTGTGTGTGTGCGCTGTGTATAGTGGATGGCACACATGTCCATACCCACACACATGACATTGCATTGGCAAAGGGTATAGGAAGCTCATACTCAAATGCACAGCCAGAGAACCTCCACATGAGTGCACACATACTCACATAGAGACAAACACACAGACACACAAACACACAACCCTGGTGCGTGCATGTATGCCTTTCCTCAGGTGTGTGTGCACTGAGCGGGGTGTGTCAGGAAAGCCAAGAGACTGGGAAAGCAGGAGTGGTTTCGGTTTTCTCAGACAGGGGCTCTAAGGACTCCATTTTCAGGTGTGCAGATTGGGAGCCGCTGGGGTTGTGAAGTATTCAGGCAGCTGAGGGTTGAAGTGGCTTGAACTCCCATCCCTAACCTCGGCCCTCCCTCACCATCCCTTCATCCCCTCAACCCATGGTGCCCATCCTCTGCCCCAGCTGCTCTGACCGATTCTCCAAACTGCATCAGATGGACAGTTTCTGCACTGGACTTGATTTCTTGTTTCACCTTCAGGGCATTAAGCTGCTGTACCTGTGACCTCCCCCTCAGATGTCCAGGGCAGCTGCCTTAGAATACACACTATCTATCTCCCCAAATCAGGAAAGGAGACTCTAGAAATATAAAGCTGATGTTCTACTTTTTAATATAAGAGAGAGAGAGAAAACCAAGACTTTCTTTTTCCAGAGACACACAGCTGACTCTCCAGTCATTTATTGTCGTCATTTTTCACTCTACTTTAGCAATTTTTTTTTTTTTATCTTTTGGGGGATTTGGTTTCTTTTCACATGTGATTTAGATTCTTCTGGGAGGCACTGAATGTCTGACTTACGTTCTGGAGTCTTGTTTGTTTTACTTGCCTCTTCTTATTCCTAAGTCACACTGTAAACTAGCTCATCTCAGTGGCGGTGTTCAGGACTCACCTAACCAAGATCAAGGCCATGGCTGTGGGTCTGGAGTAGGGAGTTGGGAGGAGTCGTGGGTCCTTGGCTGTGGGGTTTGGCGGAAACTATCATGGGAAGCATGTGGCTTTAGGGGTCCTGAGTGTCATCGAGAGAAACATTGCCTGGTTTCTGCCTGTGGTAGTGTGAATGTCCACCTCTTGAATGTCTGCCTCCTGGACTCAAGACTGCTTCCTCCTACTCACCACAGCCTGACCTCCAGTTCTGCAGGGACATTGACTAAGTCCATGTTTCTGTCTGCCAGACCCACAGTCTCTACCCCTCCCTAAATCCTAGGGATTCTGGGAGTTTACAGCTCTCAGAGGTCCCCACCGGCACCTCAGACCTGTAGTCAGGACAGTGGTGGAGCACAGTATGTTGCTGGTTGACCAGTTGGCATTCTCCAGGTGGGTGTGCTTGACTAAATGCTGTGAAAGAGGTTGTTAGCCCTTGCTTCTAATCCCCTTGGCCAGGAACTAGTGCTTCTCCACAGAGTCCAGATGCCAAGAGGGGGCTGCCATTCTCTTCACAGGAGGATGAGCATAGCCACCCCATAAAGGTCTTTAGCTTGGTGTCTCTGATCCCTCATGGGGATGCTTACACTTCAGGCTGAGAATGGCCATCCCTGAGGGGTTATTTGCAAAAGCACCTCTCCTACCTGGGGCTTGGACTGCCCCCCTCCTCCATCATAAAGCATTACTCAACTGAAAGATACCTCAACTTCAAAAGCACTGTACCCATAGCCCTCTCCCCTGGGTCTCCATCAGGTGGGGAGTGAAGATGATTTCAAGACTCAGTGGCTTCCAGTTATGCTCAAGGTTCCAGAACTCTGATCTTGAGGCCTAAGCCTACACTCTTCGCCTCACAAGACTAACCAAGCTCTCCTGTAGATTCTCAGACATACATACAGATCAGAGAAGGCTGCGTCCACATCTACTCTAGCAAGCTATGGTCTCAGGAACACCATGCAATCCCTACTGCAAGGGATGTTCTAGACATTTCCATCATGGTGTCTTCAACTTGGCACTTACCATCAGAAGAACCTCTGTCAACAGTAGAGAGATCCAAAACAGGAACTGAATGTCACTCCCTGAAGAATGTAGGAATGTCTTCACATTGCCCATGGTATTCCAGGAGGTGGGCTCTGGATTGATGATGAAGGATACCTCGTCTCCCTCATCTGTTGGGAATGGGGCCATAACCCAGCACTTGTAGCCACACTGGAAGCTGGGTGCTTAGTGCAGTCAGTGAAAACAGATCCTCAGGCAGAGCTGGGCCCGAGTTGCTGTTACAGCCAAGCCCAGAAATGTGCATTGCAGGTATTCTTTTGGAGTATGGAATATTCTTCCTCCAGAAAGAAAATTAGTGTTAAGCTCCAGGCATCTGGTCATAGGTAGTCACCTCCTGTCTAGTTTATTTGCACCTTGACTCATCTATCCTTGGGGCTTAGATTGCCTCTCTAGGTTTAGTGTGAGCCCCACTTGGTCCTCAGAACCCATCTCTGGGCTGCCTCACCCTCAAAGATTATAAGGCAGGAGGCAGGCTGTCATTTCTCTCTAGTGTCCCCAACCGGAAAAACTGTGCCCAGTGTCTGCTGTCGTATGGGCCATCTCCACAGTGCGCATCCTGCAACCAACAGCTCAGTAAATCCCAAAGATCTCCCAGGTCCAGCCACAGGCCCCATCAACAGCAATATCCAACTAACCAAATTCTAGTTCATCCAAAGCACTAAGACAGGCTCTTCCAGTTGCTCTCCAGTGGCCTGGGCTGGCCTCAGCCTTCAGAAGGATTCTGTCATCTGCCTCCTGATTCTGTGACCACTCTAGGTCTTTCCACCATAGGCTATTGGGGGTTGGGACACCAGGAAGCTGGGCCATTTCTAGCATACAGCCTACCTTGAGTTGTATGATTCTCTGGACAAAAATGGTCGTTGCTTTAACATGCATGGACCCAAACACAGAAGTAGAGAAGAGGTGCTTCTCCCCAAGTCTGAAGTCCAGCTCAAGCCAGGGCCTGCGGCTTGTTTGCCTGAGATTGAGTCACTCAAGATCTCAGGTCTATGAGGAATGGTTGTACATGGAAGCACTTGTTCTCAGCGTGGTTCTGTTCCCAACACCTGAGTCCTCCTGCCAAGCCTTCCTTGCATGGCTTTCAGTGCCCCGGATGCAATGTCTATGTGAACACAGCTGCCTGTATCTCATCCCTGGGGCTGGCTTCTACAGGAAGCCACGTGCTTCGTCACGAACGATGCCATCACCATCCTGCTTGATGGCTCTGCATTTGGCATTGTGGGGTGGTAAGGGTATCTGTTTCCTGGTGATAAGGGCAGCTGGTATACTGATGAGAACTCATCTCCAGGTTTCTAGGAAGGAACTGGGCACCAGCCATGTGGGCTGGCCAAGAGTCTTCATTTTAGTTTGACTAATTTGATCTCCTGCACTTTGAAGAAATGGAAGAAATCTACAAGGCATGTTTTCCACTGTGAAGCTGAATCTCTGCTTTTGGAGCCCCCCCCTTTTTTGAGCAAGGTCCCCGATTTTCCTGGCCTCAGGCTAGACTTTCTAAAGAGAGTGTGGGTGCCATGCATGCTCACTCTGAGGACACAAGGTCACCAAGAAGTATCAAAGCTCTGATGTAGGTGGGATGCCACGCCAGGCCTCGCCATGTCATGCTTGAAGAGAGCACAGGACACTCGTTACCCTATAAGCTATGCCAAGCTCCTAGCTTCCTGGTCTTGGCAGTGATGTGACACTGTTGTGTCTGTCATATAGCTAGAAGAAGATTTCAGGAGGGCAGAACCAAGAAAGTGAGGCCCAGGCTGTACCCTGGAGACAGTGCACAGGGGCTCCTGTCCCCAGGGCAGTGGGAAAGCTGGAAAGGAGGCTGCCCTTCCCCTTCACTGTGGCAAATGTTTGCTAGGCCAGTTATGGCAAACCAATGATGTGGTGTTTCCTCATGTTTCCCTCACATCTGCCCTTTGCAGGCTTTCCAGGGGGATTTTGTGGCTGTGGCTGTTTTTCTTCCTCTCTCATTTGGGTCTGAAGATGGCAGTCAGGAGAGCCCTGGCTTTGTCCAAGGGAACCTGTGGTCTCTGAGCATGTATAGGCCTCACATGGAAGAGGGTGGTGCTTTAAAGTTTCCCTCCCAAATGGAAAGTTGACTAGTCTTGGAGTTGGTATTGTCATCACCACTCACCAAGGTCCCACCCATCCTTGGGCACCTTGACTCTTTGAACCAAAGTTCCTTAAAGGGGCAGAGCCCAGCCTTGTCCATAGGAGCCAGAATTTGCAGACCCACTAGAAGGAGAGCTCTCACAATCCAGGTGCCAGAGGCTCACTTAGGACTGTTCTTCCACCCAGACAGGGTGGGTGGCTTCTCAAGCAGGGCTCGAGCTTGTGGCCTGACTTGGACTGGGTCTGGCCAACCATGAAAGAGCAAGAGCCATGTGGCAGGGCCTTCCAGATCCCAGGCATCAGGAAACCATTTTGTATAACAACCTGAAGCAGAGATATTTTTTAAGACTCATGAATTATTTTCAGTTGTCTTCTGATCCTATCGGGTTTTTGTTTTTTTCTTTTCCCCACAACTTCACGTTGGTGATTCGTTCACATCAGGTAAATCTTGAGAACGCCTTGGTGCCCCATTCCTCCTGCCCCCTACTCAGTGACCACGTGTGTGCGCCTCCATCCTGTCTCAGTAGTAAAGACGTTCTAGGCAATACCATAGACACATCTGTGTCTTGCTTCGAGTGCAAGAAACTCAAGTCATCTTAAAAAAAAAATTAAAAACACAAAAAAAATTTACAAAAAAGCAAACACACACACAAAAAATATCTTTTTTAGGCCAGAGTTTTCTACAGGTATTAATGAATATTTTTCTTAATCCTTATAAGTTTTATGTGTTTAATATTTCTTAATACCAGTAGTATTAATTTATACTTTTGTAGCAACATAATATTTTTATAAACAGCCAGTGCTTGGCTCAAGTCTTCACGGGGGTTTATGCAGGGCTATCTTAGGGACCCTGTGTACCATGTACTGTATTTAAAAAAAAAAAAAAGTTACCCAGCATCATACTTGCTGTGTTAATTAACAAAGACGTCATTGGCGGTCTCCTGTATTGATGGTGTGGATCCAGCAGTCCTTCAGGGAGCCACATTGCATGGGGTTGAGTTGCCAGTTCTTGTGATGCATAAACTCCCAAGGCCAAACTTGAGGGTTTATTTAGGGTTTTCTGTGTGTCCTTTGGGGTGTTTTATTTTACTTTGGTTTGGGTACCGTTTCTCCATTTCACAGCCAAATTGGTTTCATGGTGTTTAAAAATTTTACTGATGTCAAATGGAAAAAAGGAACAGAAAATTTTTAAAAAAGATTTTTTATGGAGTAATAAAATGTAAAGCTGAGCTGTTTCAATGTTACTGTTTTTACATGTCTGTTCTTGTCCACAAGTGGAATATTCCCATGGATATGGAGAAGAGAAAGGTTCCACTGGGTTCCTTAAGTCACCAAAAGCCCTGGCCCAAGATTCAGTTCCTCCCCCGACCCCCAAACCATTTCCCAGCTGGTTGATGCCAAGGTAAAAAGACATCCTTCAATGACAAGAGGACCAGTCGCCTAAGTGCGCGCCCGAGTTCATGTCAGTGTTGTATTTATGGTTTTACAATAAAACAACCTTTAGGAACCTCTGGCGTGTGGTGTTTTTCTTAGGGTTAGGCCCTATCACCCGCTCAACACAGCTCCTGCAGTGGCTGGGT